GTGATGCCTTGCAAAGCAAATTGGATTTGTGTTTGAAAATTTCAGTAACCAAATATACTGGCCTTTTAAAATTCCAAATTGGTTTTGTAGATAAATGGATCAGATTAGTAGGAAGGAAGGGAGAAATGGAGGGACTGTGGAATGTGCGTGCAATTGCTGGCAGGCAGGCTTCTGCCTTATGAGATTAGCATCTCTGCCTTTTGCTGGAAATGAGCCACTCTGTTCTCCTTGCCTGCCAGGAGCCATAAATTAAAACCTCTCCCATTTTCTAGCTCAATAGGGACAGCAGCTAGAACTATAGAAAATGGTTTTAGTTGGTTTAATCTGAAGCCTCCCGGCTGGGCATCTGCATTGACCCACCAAAGAGCTCCATGGGAAATGACTTTCAGGGTCAAGACCATGGATGGAGCAGGAGCTGTCACCAGTTAGTTTTCTAGCCCCATGGGGATGGAGCTTCCTGTGGTCCCAGCTTCCAGGGAAGCATCCTTCATTATGCCTTTGAACCACAGAGTCAAATTGAACTCCCGCCTGCTGTTCCTGGATTGTGGCACTCTGAGACTGGATCCCTGTTTTTGAAGAAGTAAATGTCTAGAAACAGGGTCAAACTGGTATTTAAAAATTACTAGTGACCTTTTTTTTTCTGTCAGTTTCCTCACAGGTGGAACAAAGCTTATCTTTGGAGAAAACTGTTTAGAAATCCAGAACAATGGGAAGATAAAGTCCCTGCGTAATAATATAAAATGTACTTTTGTTCATTCATTCACTAATTCATCACATATTTATAGAGCATCTGTTATTTTCCAGGCCCTGTTCATGGTGCTACGAATATGGCAGGCAACTAAACAGACAAAAATATGCTTTTTGGGGGTTTTATTTTGGTAGCCTACATGCAGATTATGACAGGTATTGAACAAAACACATAGTATGATAGTTAATGTTTTGGATAGAAGTAAGTGCCCTGAAGGAAAACAAAAGCAGGAAAGAGAATTTGGGACTGGAGATTTGGTGGTGGCGGCAGGGTGTTCAATTTTAAATAGGGGCCAGGGACAACCTCCCTGGGAGAGTGACATTTGAGCAAAGGCGTGAAGGCGGTGAGGGAACAGATTGTGTGGAGATCTGGAGAGGAATTCCAGGTCGCCAGCACAGCCAGTGCAAAGGCCCCGAGGTGGGAATGTGCTTGGTGTCCCCCAGGAATGATAAGGAGGCTGGTGGGGCTGGAGGAAAGAGTGGAAGGGATGCAGGCAGAGGCCATATTGGCAGGGAGGACGCAGGGTATCCCTCACAGAGCACGGCAAGGACTCGCCTTTCAGTCCAAGTGATTTTGCAGCCAGGGAGAGTGTTGAGCAGAGGAGGCCTGTCTCCTGACTTAAGGTGTAAAGGCATCAGTCTGAGTTCTGAGTTGAGCATTGGCTCTGTCAGGGAGAGGGCTGCAGCTACCGTGAGGAGGTGACTGCAGCAATCCAGGGGAGGGGGGCTGGGAGCTCAGGCATGAGTGGGAGCAAGGGGGCAGACTAGGAGGGGACCCAGGCAGATATGACTTGCTGACATCGGATTGGGGTATGAGGAAAAGGGGGCGTGAAAGCGGGTGGAGACCAGGGGTTCAGTGCTGAACACACAGAGAGAGCTCGAGGTGTCTGTTAGACAACCGAGGGGTGCTGTCCTGGCCAGAGAGAGGAGTTGGGGGTTCAGAGGAGAGGTCCAGGCAGAAATTGGGAATGGTCAGCGTGTGGACGGCCATCACACCGAAAGAGGTCACCAAGTGAGCGAGCACGGATGGATGCGCACACAATGAGTTCAGACACCCTGATACTTAGAGATCAGGAGAGGAGCCACCATCCCACCTTGCCTGCCCCCGGGAACTGCTCAGGAGCCTTGGGGCCCTGGATGACAGATGTGGTGAAAGTTCTTGGGAAGAAGACGCTGAGGAGGAGGAGCTCTATGTGTGGGAAGCTCTATGGGTGTTCTTGGGATCCAGTCCTGTGAGGAAGCCAAGGCAGCAGGATTTCGGAGAGGGAGGAGATGAGTCCACTGCAGTCAGGACAAAGGCCTCGCCCTTTGTTGGAGGGCTGGGGCTCAGGAGCAGGGCAGCCCTTCAGAGATACCCTGAATGAAGCCCCAGCGTGAGTCAGGGAAGGGCTTGGCCAGGGCTGGAGATGAGGTTCTTGTCCTGAGGGGAGCTGGGAGGGCAGCCCAGCACTCACTAAAGCATCCAGGGGAAGGTGGCATGGCCTTCATTAGATGGTGGGGGCAGACCAGAGTCTCTTACGGAAGTCGATGAGTTGGGTTCCTGGAGCATTTGGATGGGTAGAATCCCGGAGCTGCGATGTATCCAGGGCCAAGGTTAAGTTTTGTGTTATGTTTCATCATCTCCCTGCATCCAGCTGCATTTTGGGAGGCTTTCAAGAGGGACCTCAGCTACGTCAAGGGGATGATGGAAGGGGCGCTGGGACCTGGAGGAGGTGGCAGAGGGAAGCCCAGGGCAGCAGACCAGAGTCACAGAAGGGAGTAGTGCTTTGGTGAGCACTCCTTGGAAGCTTCTGGAAAGACTTTGGGATGGGGGACGCTGGCTCAAGTGTGGCTTTGCTGTTGTGGAGGAGACAAAGGTTCAGGCTTGGCTATGAAAGGGAAAGGTGGAGGGTGACTTTCCTGAAGGCGGCGGCTTGCAGGCATGGCAGTTTCACAGCTTTCGTCCATTGCTTTCTGTTCAGCTGATTAGGTAGCCAGGCTTACACAGACCAGGCCACTAAGTAGCTAGTCAGTGAGAACCATGCCAAGCTCCTTCCCTCAGCTTCTTACAGTGACACTTAACAGTGCACAGAATTGTTTGTCGTCTACATCAGGGCCTTGGTGCCAACTTGCTCTCATTCTGGCTCTGCCACACCAGAGCTTTGTGACCTTGGGTAAGTCACTCAACTTCTGTCAGCCCTTGTTTTCTCATCTATAAGGAGAACAATGTCTATCTTATGGAGCTGTTGTGAAGATTTAGGTGAGAAAGCACCTGTGAAAGCATCTCCCTTCCTCTGTGGTATTTGGGGAGGCATCAGAAGATGTCAGTCCCTTTTTTCTGTCTGTGCAGTTAGAAATCTATGTCTTGGGCCTGGAGGGATGTGCCAGTTTCCCTGGCTCCCAAAGAGAGAAGGGTGCTTGGGCACAGTGTTCTGAGAACCTCCTACTTGGACAAGTTTCCTATTTGTGTCAAGCCCATTCTCTTCCACTCCATCCTCAGTTCCTGCCATGGGCACCACTGGTCTCCATCCACCCAGCCTGCAGATAAGCCAACAACAATGTTATCGTGACTGCCAGGCCCTTTGGGGCAGAACTCCTTTGTTGGCAGTTTTGGCTCCTGTGGGGGTTCTGGGTGGCTATGGGTTTGGTGGAACTGAGAGGGCCTGGGGCAGAGCCTGCCTCCCGGTAGATGCTCAGGGAGCGTTCATTGGATGAATGAGGGTGAGGGCTCTTAGATGGTGGAGTGAGACCTCCATCCAGCAGGAGCTGAGCAGTAGCTGGCTCCTGAGACAAAAAGGAATAACCAGACCAGGCACTGTTCAAGATTCTGCCCCCTGGGAGTACCTCTCCTCACCACGGTCCTTTAGGGATGTTCTGGAAAGGTGCTGCCGTGCTTCCAGGTCCATTTTAGGGCTTTGAACCCAGTCTACCCTGACTCTGAAGCCATAGGCTGTGCTGTTCTACTACTGCCTCCCCCCTTTGTTTAATCACCAAGCTTCTGCTTCAATATTCTTCTGAAGGGCTCAGTCCAAAGCTAAGAAACTCTTCTCTCTAGAAAGTTTCTTTGTTCAGCTGAAAAGGACCTCCTTTCCAGACCAGCTCTCCGCACGCCTGCTCACGGATAGGACAGGCATTCTGAGATTCTGTTCTGCCACTGCCTTCCCACACGGCCCTTTAAATACTTAAGGACAATTGTTAAGCCTTGCTTCTGGGCTTTTTCCTCACCATCATGTTCAATTGCAGGACAGCCATGTGGTTCCTCGATTCCCTTCTAAAGCTCTGCCCTACCCTAATCCTTCCTGCAGTGATGACATATCCCAAGACAGACACCAGCCTGTGAGATTACATAGACTTTATTTCTAAGAACAAACAAGGTTCTCAGACAGCAATCAATGGATAGCGTCAGCTCTTGGACAGCTGTGCTAATTCCACAAATGTTTCATGAGCACTTAGCACATGCAGGACATGAGGTGTGCAATGATTCATATCCATGGACCCCTGAGGGCCAGTTCAGGAGGAGCTCCCAGGGCCAGTTCAGGAGGAGCTCCCAGGGCCAGTTCAGGAGGAGCTCCCAGAGCCCACTTTTTTCCATCAACAGCAGGGAGGCAGAATGACCATCAGATGTCTGGCACAGAGTGGGTGCCTCTCTTCTCTGATCCCGATCTCCTTTGATTCTATAATAGTAAGAGGCAGAGACCAGTATTAGCCTCACACTGTCATGGGTCCTAGAGCCAATGCTTCTTGTTCCTGCTGACACCATGGATGTTAGGTGTTGAGGGATACATTTTTTGTCCTGAGTCATTTAAGCACACTGTTGCAGATGGCACTTCCGTACTGATGCCGAAGCAAGATTAGAGAGGTCTAGCTGTTGGTTTGTTCGTCTTCTATGCGTTTTAAAAGCTATTTATTAACGTACTACTATGTGGTCTCAGTAGTGTGCAGAAAAGGACTGTCATTCCTGCTGATCTGCACTCCCTGGTTACTAAGATACAGTTCATGGTTGTCTGCATTTTTGCAGCCTCAAGATTTCAGGTCCTTGTAATGCTCAATTCTCTTGACATTCAAAGAAATTTTCTGTGGTTGTTCCTTTTAAATGCTGAAGAGGGTTTTAGGCAAGCAAATGTTGCTGCTTAAAAAGTATTCAAGATGTAATGGTAGCATGTTGTTTTAATTAAGTTGCAAGTATTCTATCATTTATCTATCTATCATCCATCTATCAATCATTTTTCATGTTTTGACTCAAACACACACACACACACACACACACACACGCATAAAGAGACACAGAAATGGATTCTCGTACGAATGTTTAGGGTAGAATATACATACAGAGAGGCACACAAATACACGATAATCCTATTACCATGGGGACAATTCTATAAGGACTTAAAAATCATTGCTTCATGTATAAAGGTGTCAAAAGATCACATTTCTTCCTCAGGATGATGGTCTTCCTCATGTACACACAGTAATGAAACTTATCTGACTCTCAAGTATAAGAAATCCAGTGCTCCTACCAGCCATGAAAACCTATTTGTGAGGACTGAGTCACCTAAGAAGCGTTTGTGAAAATGTGAATACTGTGGAAGATGGCACTTGCATGCTGTCGGCGATGGGCAGTCAGTGATGAGGGTGAAGGCGGCAGAGAGAATAAAGACACGCTCTTTATGGAGCAGCTGGGAGCCATCTCCAGTGTAGTATGGCCATCCCAGACAGGCCAAATTTTAGGTCACTGACAAAGTAGTCCTGGTGCTCCCCTGGTGAAGGCAATCCCAGGGTGTTGTTGAGCAATATCATGGCACATCCCACGGGCATTACTGGGATGGGGAAGTCAAGGCATAGGGCACTTTCATCGCCCTTGCCAGGGAACCTGAGGCCTAGCTGCAGAGGAGTGATTGCCAAGGGTGCAGTGGAGGGGCTGGGACCTGTAGAGCCTCGAGGACCAGCTCACAAGCTCTGTGTTTAGACTCATGCAGAGGAGGATGATCTTCTAAGGACTGAGGTTGAAGGGCTGTCAGACTCCAATGGGAAAAGTTTAGGAAAAGCCCTTTTACAAATCCAGAGATATTTCACAGTGGGTGAGGCTGGTGTGGCAACAGTAGTGAACCATGCGGCCGGGTTGGGAGCCAGCTCTGCCCACGAAGTGCTGTGTGGCTTTGCAGTGTGGCCTCATAATCCCAGCCTTGTTTCTTCCCCAGGGAGATGAGGCTGGTGATGGTCAAGACCTCAGAGACCCTTTCCAGCCTGAGTATTTGTATATAATATCCCCCTCGGGGAGGTCGCCTCCTTGTGGTTATGACCTTTCTCTGCATGCTCCCCACAATACTTAGGAGTCTACCTCCTACAGCTGGGCAATGTAGCTCAGTGATCAGGCACTCTGTCCGGAGAGTCAGACCGATGAGGGTTTGAATCTTTCATCCTGCTCAGAAAATTGGGCATAATACCAGTGCCCCTCTCAAGGGGTGTCATGAGGACATGAGTAACTAGAAGTATCCACAAGAGCTTGGCCAGTAGAAGGCTCTTGTGGAGGAGGAGCTCCCAGAACCCGGTAGATTGGGTGTAGAGCAGCTGCTATGATGAATGGTATAGATGTTTCCCTTTGTTGTATTCAAACTGAGTAACAATGGGTCTGCTGTTCTGGGAGGGGCTCCATCAGAGCACATTGGTCGAAGCACACTAGAAGGGCAGACATCTCTCTGGCAGGACGTCTGGACCATGGACAGGAATCTGAGTGAAGATGACAGTAAGTAGAGCCTCGAAGATGGCATGGAAGACTGTGTGGAGATATTTCAGCCTGCATTTGAGAAGGCCTTAATCTGACCTCTCATGTTGGAAGTTGTGTATCCATAGTCTTTTCTAATAAGCTCTGTAGCTAGTACTGTACGAACTCTTCCATCTGCCCTAAATGTGGTTCTGGGTCTGCGTCTGGGTTGCCGAGAGCATCCCTTCCTTCCTTCCTCTCGTGGGTAAAGCCTACCATAGCTTGCAATCTCTTCTTCTGTTATGTGCCTTTGGACAATGGAGAAGGAAGGTGAAAAACGAATTGAGAACTTTTCTCTCTATCACAGTGACATGGTGCAATCCTTATATTCTTTTTCCTTTTTCTTCTGTTCTCTAGTTGGCAGTTTCTCCTGCCCCCAGCCAAATGTAAGTGAGATTTTCAGGATTCTTATTCCAATCACAATTGGATTCTGTTCTTAGATAAGGCTAACTCTACAGAAAGGTTAGGAAAAGTCTTCACTCATGATCGTTCTCTAGCAAACAGCAGGCTCGTTCATTACTGCTCATGAAACATAGCCCGGGTGACCCCATCCTGTCACTACTAGGACAGACATACAATGGACTCTCAGGGCTATTTAAAAACATGAAGGAAATGGTATTTCAGGAAGAAATGAGCTATGTTTTAAAAAAGAAAATTTTTGATTCTGAATTTGAAACAGGCAGTGCAGTGGGGTGGAAAGAGCATGGGACTGAGAAGTGGGAGGCCAGGGTTCAAGTCCTGGCTCTACTCTGAATTGGCTGTGAGATCTTGGGCAAATCACTTAACTTCTCAGAGCTACAATCTTCTCATCTATAAAGTGAGATTGGTTTAGGAGTTCTTAATCTGAGGACCACAAGGGTGTGGGCAAAATGTTTTTTGAGCATGCTTTTTGGGGGATGTGGAGAGAGGTCTATAGCTTTCATCTGAATCCGGAGAGGCCCATGACAGTAACACGTCTTTATAGTCGCCAGACTTGATGACACTGGAGCTTCTTTGCAGGCATAACACTCTTTCTTGTCTTTAATGTTGGTATCTGAAAGCTTTAAGTTTTAGACCTGAAGTAGAATATGAAATTAACCTATACTAAACTTAGAGAGCTCAATTTAAATTTTGTTGGAATCTTTTTTTATATTGAAGCGAAAGACTGCCTGGAGATATTTCAGCATGTTTTTGAGGAGGACCTAATCTGACCTCTAATATATTGGAAATTGTGTATCCACAGTCTTATTCTAATAAGCTTAAAATAACATTCTAATGCAATCTTTTTTCTTCAAAACACTGTCTTTCCATTTATGATTGGAGTTTCTCATAGTGGCAATGAACTAGGTCAGATCTGGATTCAAACCTAAGCTCTGCCTCCTAGTTGCTGGGTGACTTTCCTCAAGTCACTTAACCTCTCTGAACTTCATTTTCCATAATTTTTTTTAAAGGGATGGTGTCATCTTGCAGGATTGGTCAAAGATTCATTGGATGCAAAGTGCCTAATACATCACCAGCCCAGAGTAGACATGGAGTCAATATTGACTCTAGGAGATGATCAGGTCCACAGAGCCATGAAAGTAAACTGCTATTAATGGGAAATATGATCTCCTATGAAGTTCCTGTTTTGACCTCATGCCTTTTGGTGAGCAAGGTGAGAGAAAGGTGAAAGCTTTGGCCCCATTACAAGTCTGAGTATTTCACAGTGTTGCCCTGAGTGCTGGCCTCAGATGTGATGGAACTCAAGTGAGCACTTGGGGTACACTGCAAGGTATGGGGGCACCCAGGTAAACTCTTAGAAGAAGTTAAGTTAATGAAATCAGAAACTAGGTAGATTTTTTTCCCTCCAAGTGTCAGAAAGGGAGCCTGCTACAGGCCTAACATAATTTAAATGTACCTGTTTAGGGGAGAGGTGATTGCCCATTTCATCCAATCGAGTTACCTTTTGAGGCACTAAAGTGTTGCCCCTTCACTTTTCAGGTCTATAATGTGAGTGACTTCAGAGGGAGGAAACCTTCCTCCAATGACACATTGTGGGACCATAGTGCATGGATAGCAGCATTCTGGGATGTGGCACCTATGTGCAAGTCTCCTCAAAGAGGCCTTCTATCATCACCCTCAGGTGCTGGCTGCCTGTGACAGCATCTCTGAGTAGGGCAGCCTCTCCCACCTTGGCTGGAACACTTCCATTGATGTGGTCCTATTTCTGTAGCCGAGACTGTCTAAAGTTCTTTCTTACATCGAATGCAGTCTCTCTCCCTGGAGCATCTACTCTTTGTTCTTGATTCCAAAATCTACTCAGAATGTCTGTTCTCTGTTTAAAATAAGAGCCCTGTGAGTCTTTCCAAGCCTAACCAGATCCTGTTTCTTCAACAATCCCATAGGTAATCACTTTTTTTCTTAGAGTGCAGTATCCTAGTACAGAGTAGCAGAGACAAAATCCCTTCCCTTATGCTGTATACTGTATCTCTTGTGATAGAACTTACTTCTTTGATTGTAGACTGAAACCTCTCCCAGAAATAGTGAGCAAGAGCGTCTTAAAGTACGATGGGCTATAAATACAGCCCCTGGTAATTTTAGGAGGTGGCTTTCCTGGTCTTCCTTACTCCTGGCCATGGGTCCCTGTGGAGAGGGGCAGGGTTGAGCTCATGAGTGAGATTCCTGATCTGAGGGCACATCGTCATCATACCCCTGACCCAGTGCCGAGGAGCTGGGACTCTCCCTTGGTAACCAGGCCCAGAAGGCTTGTTCATCAGAGTGCCCCTGCCCCCCACGACTGGAGATGCAGAACCAAGACTAGATTTCAGGCTCTCAGTGTATCTTGGTGGGAAAGGGTGCTGGACTTCTTGGCAAGGGCCAAGCTGCCATGACCTATGGTGACTGATCAGGGAACCTCAGTGTTTCTCCCACATCCTCTGGATGGAGGCACAGCCACCGGAATGCAGCCTTCCTGACTAGGTCAGCCCTGGCCTCTAGGGACCCATCCAGTCTTTCCCACAGGCTGCAGATTTCTGGAAGGGCATGGTGGTTCTGGTAGCCCCTAATGGGAAGATACAGCATCTACTTTGGGGAGTGAGTAAGAACTAAAAAGCTTTAATGAACTTGTTACAGCTTAGGATCTCCAGGGCTCTCCTGAATCTGTTTCCAGATTTCCCTCTTATCCATTGTCTCATTTGCTTCTCTCGGTGGCCCTACTCCCTGAACCCTGTTTTTAGGGAAAGGAAATCAAGGCCTTAAAAAAACGGAGTGATTTTTTTTACTCCCCAAAGACTGCATGGTGGGTTAGGTATTTTGTGCTGTGCTCATTGCTGGGAAAATGAGGATGAATAAAGCATTATCTACCTTTGGGGTACTCCAAGTCTGGTGGGGGACACAGACCCCAGATGGGCTTTTTACAAAGGATTCTTAAAAAGACATTTGGCCAAACAACGTGAGATGTGGAATGGAGTGCTCAGGGCACAGGGCAGGGAGCCGCACTCAGGCAGTCTTTGGAGCTGGCAAGGTCTAGGCTAAGTCAGGCTGGAGGGGGCACCCAGGGTTGCCACGGGCAGGACCAACCCCAGCCAGGGCTGTGGAAATGGCATGGGGTGTGTGAGGGTGAGTACAAATGTCTGTATCATATGAAGCCACAGGGCACCCCTGGAAAGCCCAGCCCCGGGGTGGCCCTGTCTTGGCATGACGACACTTTCTAAGAAGCGTTAATTTCACATTCCAAATAATTGAAAAATAATGACAAATAATCCCAAATAACTGAAAACAAAAATTACAATATTTGCTGCCTTCTTGCTTGGCACCCCAGAGTGGCCTACATAACTTAAAGCAAAACTTCTCCCAAGTCTTCACCCACTTGTCTTGATGTTGTCTCACCATGTGGTGAACATTTGCTCCTCCAGATGTTTTCTTAATGGCTCCCAACCCAAGTACCCATGCTTCTCTCTCCAGCAGGCTTGCCTGTCTCCTTCCTTCTTCCCTTCTTTTCTCCTCGTCTCCATCCTTCCTTCTTTCTCTCTGTTCTTTTTCCTTACTGTTGCCCGCTTCCACAGTTAGCTGCCTTGCCTTCACTCACCCTGGTCTGCACACATAGGAGGCTTTTCCCTGGCATGTGGGCAGAGGAGAATCCTTTCTTCCTCTCTTGTGGGTAAAGGCCATCTAATGTAGGGACCTTACTTGCCAAATTTAGGAGCTTGCATTTAGCTGTGTGTAATAGTGAGTCACTGCAGGGGATAGGTGAGGGGTGATGAGTTAAGGTTTTCTGGTCATTCTAGGAAATCCTTTAACTAGTGGGGTCAATTGTTTGTGTTTTCTTTGTGGCAAAACAGAACTTCTTTTTTTTCTTTCTTTTATGATCACCTCACTCTTTCTCAAGTTATTTTTATTTGTGATAAAATATATATGACATAAGATTTACCACCTTAACCATTTCTAAGTGTACAGCTCCACAGTATGGTTCATTCACATTACTGTGCGGCCATGACTAGCACCCTTCTCTGGAACCGCTTTCACCTTGTAAATCTGAAGTTCTGTTTCTATTAAATAATTCCCCATTCCCTTCTCAACCATCACTCTATTCTTGTGTCTCTGAGTTTGACCACCTGAATCTTTCTGGCACCATCTCAAGTATGATTCAAATCACAAGGCACTTGTGCACATCGACAGTATGCTCACTGTGGTAGGTTTGTTGTTCCCCTAACACTTATGTGCACGTGCACGTGGTGTATTCCCACTCTGTTTGAGTGTTGAATGCTGTTCATTTATTATATAAGAGGGAGGGGTCCCTGTCCAAAAGGGGCCTTCACACCTGTCGAAGGAGACAACGTATGGAACAAACTCAAGTAAGATAGTGATGGAAAGCCCTCTGAGCCCGCTTCAGTGCTTTTAAGATGATTAATGTGTAATTAGGGACAAAGGACATGGATTCCCTTTCTCATCTGAAGCCAAGGAGGGAATGACATTTTAAAAAGAGAAAGTTAAAGGGGTTACCCTTTAATAATGTCTTTCTCCATAAGGAAAATTCTTTTCTACACAAAGGAAAAATATCTTGTGGCTAGTGAGCTGAAACACTATATTGGCAACTCTCTTTGCAATGTCTTCTCAACATCCACTTGATGCTGTTTGCGTGGAGCCATAGGGTGTTCAGCTAAGTAAAAACATCATTGGGCTTGGAGACGGGGTCTGAGCTCTAAGTACTCTTTCTGTCTCTGCCATGCGTGTGTGAGCAAGTTGCCCCAAATTACATCTTTGAGCCTCATTTAGTTCTTCTCTGAAATAGGAAAAACTGGTTATCATAAAGCACAAAGGAGATCATGTCTGCAGTGTCCCTATGGGAGCCACGGGACACAACGCGTGTGTTAGGGTGGGGTGGCCCAGCTGGACAACTGCCTGAAACTCAGCTGCAACACCATGGGAACAGCGATGTGGCTGGTGGCCCCTTCTGAGTGTCCCATGCTGGGTGTCACACAATGCCCTGTGACATCCACATTCTCTGCTGTGCCCATCAAGATCTGTACAGGAAATGACACATCCTCCTTAGTTCAGCCTGGATTCCTTTATTTTTGTACATAACAGAATGGCGAGATTAATTTAGCTCTGATGAACTTCAGCTGCCCTGAGAGGTCAGGGCAGCTCCTGGTTGAGGGATGGAGTCTGAGTTTCCCACCTCTCATTCTTCCCCTCTTCCTGCCCCTTTTGTTTGGTTTCCAGCAGGACATTGCAGCTGCATGGTATTTCCCTGTCTTCTCGTCAATAGGAGTATTGATGCTGCAGCAGACCCAAGATTTCTGGGTGGGCAGGGCGATCCCAGGGGACAGGGCTGTGACAGTCTTTCTATGCTTGATATGTTCACTATTGTCTCCTGGTTTAAATGAACACAAAGGAAAAGGAAGACCCAACCTCTTCAGGTTGGAGGCAGTGACTGGGTTTTGTTAAAGGCCAGGCACAGGACTAAGGACGACGCACACATTTTCTCATTGCATGGCCATTAACATCAATTGCTCCATTCTGCCTAGGAGGGAGTTGAGTTCTACAGGGATGTGTGGCTTGCATGGCATCACATCATGCAGAGAGCCCGGGCCCAAGGTGACATGTCAGAACCCATGTTTCTAACCACACTGCCTCTGGGATTCTGACTCCAGTCAAAGTATGGCGGACCACTGGCTCACAAAGGTGTGTTTTCCTGCTTATAAAGGCACTCTACATCTACGAAACTTTTTTTTAAATTTACCTTCCTTGTAGGTTTTCTGCAAGGAGGAAAAAAACCTTAGAGGTGCAGATAATATTTCTTGTCAGAGGACAAGGACATTCCCAATTTGGGAGGTGGTAGAGAGCGGGGTGTTCATTTGTCCTAAATGCATCCCCTCCTTCTTCTACTGCTTGGGCCATGTGTTTCAGGGCTACAGTCCAGCCCTGACCTGGATCTTTAATTCTGATAATGGAGCTGACAGAAACTACAATGGACATGCATGGGCCTTTGCCCTAGAAAGGCTCAGGTTTCAGCCTCTACCTTTTTGATGTCCTCAAGCCCATTCCCAGGAGAATGTCTAAGTAAACACACAGGTGAGTGTCTAAGTCAGAGATAAACAAAACATGACTCAGAGACCAAATCAGACCCACCACGTATTTTCACCAATAACATTTTACTAGAACAAAATCACACTTATTCAATTGTGTATGGTCTATGGCTGCTTCACACTACAACAGACAAGTTGAGTAACTGAGACAGAGATTGTCTGTCCTGCAAAATCTAAAATATTTACCGCCTGGCTCTTTATAGGAAATTGTTGCTAACCCTTGGGTCCCTGGTGACTAATATAGCTTCAAATGCTACTAAACTAACTAGAAGCAAAGCTATACTGAGAACCAAGGTATTAATAGTAATTCAGATGAATATCGTATTGCAGATTTCCATACACATTGGCAGGCATCAGTTTGCAGCTTTGGGATGACGTCACTGTATATCAGCCACATCTGTCTCAGATCTCTCCCATTTCTTGGCAGAGTCATTTGCTCACGAAAGTGGGTTTTCCTGCTTAGAAAGGTACTCTCTACATCACAAAGCTTTTTCTACCCACTTTCCTTTGTTGGTTTTCTGCAAGGAGAAAAAGCCTTAAAGATGCAGATCATACTTTTTATTCTCAGAGGACAGGAACATTCCTAAATTGGGAGGTGGCGAAGGGGAGCGTAATGACACCCGGATCCCTACACTGTTCTTAGCCACGTGTTTCAAGATTTTCTCCTTCCTCACCTGCTGACAGCGCCACTTCCAGATCAGCTTAGACTGGTCTCATTTAGAACAAAATCTGCTTATTGTCTGGCCTTTGTTTTTATTAAACTTGAAGGGTCAGGGCATATTGTTTTTACTTTTGTGCAGGTAAAGAACTACAGGCTTTAAATAGGTTCCTCCCCCGCCCCCCCCCCCACACACACGCACACAAAGTCTCTAGGAGATGGGGCAGCTCAGCTGGAAGTCTGATCTGAGCTTGCTTCAGTGACTGGAACAGACAGGGTCCCTTTCCACTGACCACTTTACAGACGCCATCTGAAGTCAACTCCTGTGACTGACTTGGCCACTGGCCAAACAAAGCCAAGGGATCCTTGTCCCCTGGTGTGAGGGGTTGTGGGAACAGTTTTAAGGGGTGGGGCAGTGGGCTGGAACTAGACTTCTGATTCCAGAGGCTTCTGGGACCTCTGTCCTGCTCTAACTCCACAGCTGTGTGATCTAGGATTACTGGAGTAATCTCTCTGTCTGAGACTCATGTGTCTCATGTCAAATGGGGGCAGAAGTGCTGCCTTCCACACCCCCAGGTGGGAGTGTGGGATGAAGCACCAGGTGTGGGAAGGTGCTTCCTGAACCATCCAGTGCTTCAGGAGCAAGTTCTTATATTATGCATTCCTCCTCAGCATCTCAGGGCCACCTGTGTCCATGTCACACCTGACAGGTTAGGATGAGGTTTGAAAACACATATATAGTGAATGATTTTTTCATAGTTTTGCCTCATGAAAAATACAGATACTGCTCAACCTACAGTGGGATTATGTCCCAATAAATCCATCATAAGTTGAAAATATCACAAGTCAAGAAGGCATTTAATATGCCAGGCAGTGGTAGAGTGGGAGCTGTGGCTCACTCTCACTGCCTGGCATCACGAGAGTGTATCATATTGTAAATTGCTAGCCTACAAAAAGATCCAAATTCAAAATCTGATGTTTGATTTCTAAAGAATGTGTATGGCTTTTGCACCATGATAAAGTATAAAAATCAGTAAATCTAAACATCCTAAGTTGGGGACTGTCTGTACTTGGAAAGAACATGAACTTTGGAGTCAGACGAGTCTGGGTTTGAATCCAGCCCCACACACCACTTGCTGGTTGTATGATCTTGGGAAAGTCACAACCTTTCTGAGCCTCAGTTTCGTCATTGGTAGAATGGGGAAAGGCATTAGTGTATCAGTTTGAGTCACCCATGAAATAGACACCAAGATGGCATTAGATGTGCAAGGGGTTTCTCGAAGACACCTGTGAAAGGAAAAGAGGAAGGAATGTCTTCAGACTGCAATGCAGGTCTGACACCTGTGAAGGGAGAGAGGGAAAGAAGGAGACTAAGCAGGAAAAGTCACAGACTCCACATGACTCCAAGAAAGTCTTAGGCAGGTCTGCCAGGAATCCCAGAGCAAAGATTGTCCACTAGAGGAAGGTGCATAACAAATGACACCACATCTCGGTACCTTAAAACAACAATAATATTATTGTAGCTCATGATTTTGTGGGTCAGCAAGTAGGGTAGGGCTCAGCCAGGAGATTCTTCTGCTCCATGTAGTGTTGATTAGGGTCATCCAGTGGTGTTCAGCAGGTAGTTGATATGGCTTGGAGGGTCCAGGACAGCTTTGCTGGTTTGGCGGGCATGGCTGGAAAGCTGGACTCAACTGGACCTCCTTCCATGTAGTCTTAGGGTCTCTCATCATGGTCTCTCCAGCACAGTAGCCTGACTTAAAACTCAGGGTTCCAAGACAAATGCTCCACGAGGCAGAAGAAGGAGCAGCCTTTTAATGCTTCCACTGTATTCTCTTGGTTGAGGCAGTCACATATCTTCCCAGGTTCAAGGCGAGGGAAGCATCAAAGAATTTGTGGCCATCTGTAATTCACCACAGTATCTACCTCCTATTATGCATATTCACAGAGTAGGTACCCAGCAAATAGGAGCTGTCATTCTTAATGTTTCTTTCATCACTGTTATTACTGCTGCTCCTACCACCTGCCCTGAAGATGTATTCTGTGTCCCAAGGATGCCAGAGTGAGGCTGGCTTAAACTGTGAGGCTTTTTATAATGTACGCAC